ACGGTCGGCTGCCCATGCGTAGCTTCCGCCGAATGCCCAGTGGGTGGGCTCTGCGCGCCCGCGACAGGCTGACTGGGCATTGGCGACCATCAGCTCGGTGGCCTCGAGCGTTTGGGCCGCCGTGTCCATCTTGGCGCTCGCGGCGTCAGAGTGTCTCGCAGCGCGCTCGTCGAGCGCGTCGACATTTCCGTCCGCGGAGCTCTGCCCGTCGAGCAACCATCGCAACGTGCTCTCTGGAGTCTGCCATGGTCGCTCAGATGCCTCCGCCACTGACGGGGCGCTGCGAGCTGCGATGAGGCTTCACTTGCGCACGGGTCCGAAAACGCTGTGCTTGCGCAACCTGGACGCTGTCGCCGTTCCTGAAGTCCTCGGCCACGCGACGTGACCGTGGAATGGGTGGTGCTCTGCAAAACGGCCCCGGTTGCTCGATCGGGCGGCCCCGCCTGGACCGGCCTGACGTCATTGGCCCCGCCCGCGCACGCAACGCCGTTTAACGCGAGCAAAAATGCGCGCGCGACCGCGCTGACCAGAAGAGTCGCATGCTCGTCTCGGGTCCTTCGTTTCATTCCCCACGTCGAATGTCGGTGCGCATGACGCGTCGATCGTCGAGTCTGACGATGCCTGGCGGCCGCGCGCCCCCGTCGGAGACGCCCGCGCCAGGCTGGGGAAGGCGCCCTCGAACGCGCCGTCTTTGGGGGCGGGGTGCCTCTGCGTGGGAGAAGACCCACCCGGTCGCCGCCCGCCGACGCAGCCCGCGCGGCATCGCGCCAGCCCAGACAAACCACTCCAGCCCATCGCCCGCGCGGGCTGGCAGCCCGGGTCGCGGCCGTCGCGCCGCGTCGCTCCGGGCGCCTCGAAGCGCAACGCCGCTGCGGACGAGCAAGGGGGCGGGGGCGGGGAAGAGGACGAAGAGGCGGAAGAAACAACAGGAGCAAGAGAAACATAGGAAGACCAGGGACAGGCGGGGCAAAGGGACAAAAGAGAATATCGACAACGATGACACAGCTCGGGCTTAGAAAAGTGGCCCTCGCTGGGGCGGGGGCGCCGCTGGGAACGACCGGAAGGAAGCGCCGGCAAGTGAATGAGGCCAGCGCTGCAGCTGGCGCACCGCTGCGGGAGGACAGCGGGCGTTTGCATTGAACGAGAAACTCATGAAAACCCACCAACTCGGACAGATCCTGCGCGGAAGCAACTATGCGCGGATAGGGGGGGCACGGTCGAGGCGTCTTTGGGGAGGAAGGCGGCATAATAATCATTGAGAAAGGGTCGAGGGAGTTGAGATGAGATGCGACAAAGCACGATGCGATCGCATGCGCGCCTCGCCCCCCCCATGGCCTCGCAGCCGAACGAGAAGAAACGCGTATTCAACCGCGAAGGAGGCCAGGAAGACGAGGGCGCGGAGTTCCACGCAACACCCTCTTGCCGCATCACGACGAAGTCCGACGCGTCGAACTTCACATCTGCTCGCATTCGCCCTCCGAACCAGAAATCGCGGAAAGCGAGGGCGCGGCGATAGCGGCAACCTCCGCCGTGACCGCCGCGAAGCCACGGAACGTATCGCCCGCGTTGAAATCTGGCGGCGGCCCCCTGCCCGGGGGAGCCGAGCGCGCCCTCCGCCCGCGCGACCACCCCCGCTGCGCGCTATCGCCAAACGACGCCGCATCAGCCCGCAGGAATCTTGCCTCGCCACGACCACAAACTGCGGCAACGACAGCGGTAGCGGCGCAGCCGGCGCCGCCGACAGGGCCGCGATTTTCGGGTCGGGCGAAAGGGGGGGATAGGAAAGGGGGGGGGGAGAATCGGCTCGCGTAGCTGATTTTCCCGGCACCTCCCGGCGCCGGAGGCGCCCATGTATCGAGGAATGGGTCCCTCGGCGGGGCCGGAACCAGCTGCACGCAGCAACTTTCGCAACCCCCCCGTGTCCCGCTCCCCCCCTTTCGTCCGGCCCGACATTTCCCGTGGGGGCCCTCGCGTCGGCGCCCACCGCCCCTGCAGCGGCAACATCCACGACGCCCTCGGCAGGGAAGGCGCCCCCCATAAAGGGGCCCCCTGTGCGAGCCCCGCCCGGCGCGCGCCCGCGGCGGGGCGGCGATCCCCCCCTCGCGGGCCCCGTCGGCCTCGGCGGCCGCCTCCGAGGAGGAGGAGGAGGAAGAGGAGGAGGAGGAGGAGGAGGAGGAAGAGGAGGAGGAGGAGGAGGAAGAGGAGGAGGAGGAGGAGGAAGGGGATGCTCCACCGCCTCAGTGAAGTCGCACGAAAAGAAGACGACGGCGGATCCACGCCAACAGCGAGGCCCTTGTCGCGCGACAGCCGAGGCGGCCGCGCTGCCCCCGAGAGGCCCCCAAACTCCAGCCGAGGGTGAGACTTCGCGCGCGTCCAGGTTCCAACAAAACGAGTCGGTGTCCGCCTGCGCCACGGCAGCCGTGCCATGAAGCCGCGCCTCGACCCTCCTCGCGTGCTTCCGGGCGTGGCTGAGCTCCGCTGTGCTAGCAGCGGCCAAGAACACTCCCGAGGGGCCCTCATAATGGATGGCCACAGCACGCCTCAGGATGTCCAAAGCGTCGGGGCACCGTCCAGCCAGGAGTGCCGCGAAGGCGGGGAGGGTGCAGGCGACCCGCTCCGCCACCTCCGCACCACCGAAGAGGGTGCGCATCGCGAACTCCAGCGCCAGAACCTCGTGGTCGGCATCGCCCACCTGCGCCCGCAGCTCCGCGACCCAGCGGCCCGCGGCCTCCCGTGCTCCGCGAACCCTGCGCGCAGAGAGGAGCCCGTGCCGCCGCTGGATCCCGTGCGCGACGCCGCCGCCGTGCGTCAGCAATGCTCACGGTGGCCTCCCGCCACACGCCTGGGGCGAGAAACTTGGGCTGGGCGAAAGGGGGGATACAGTCGGGGCGCTGACCAAAGGAACCCTAAATAAGGAACGAGGCCCCTTGTTTCCATAAGTTGGACTTCGATTTCCTATCGAAAACAAAAGGAAAACCTGAGGCAAGCTGTGAAACAACTAAAGAACGCCGAGCCCCTCCCCAGCGAGAAGGGTTCCTTCTTCAGGGCCCCGACTGTAGCAAAAGGGGGGGTTGAGAATCGGCTCACGTAGCTGGTTGTCCCGGCGCCCCCCGGCGCCGGGAGGCGCCCATGTATCGCGGAATGGGCCCGGCGGCGGGGCCGAAACCAGCTGCACGCAGCAACTTTCGTAACCCCACCTTTCCCTATCCCCCCCTTTCTTTCGTTCGGCCCGAGAAACGCAGCCACGCCAAGCACGCACCCGGCACCCGGCGCTATGAGCCGGCTTCAGCAAAACGGCTACGCAGTGTAACTGTCGAGGGAGGAGCGGGGAAAGGAGAGGGGGATGGGACGAGCTTGGTGCGCTCATCCCACCCTCCCACCCCATCCGTTCCCATTGAATTGTCGTTTCTCTATCCGCCGACGCGTGTCACAGCGGACCTGGAACTTCAAAGGGGAACCCATCGCGGTATGCGCAATCGGGGGAAAACGGAGATGCGTACATTGGAGTGGAGGGAAGCGGATGAGCAGGAGGATAAGCACGTGGAGAAGGAGGAGGAGGAGGAGGAGGAGGAGGAGAGAGGAGGAGGACGAGGACGAACAGAAGCAGCAAGAGCTGGAGTAGAAGGAGCGGGAGCAACAGAACTAATAGGGGAAGGCGGAGAAGAGAACATGAGGGGCGACAAGGATGACAAACTACTCGGTTCCAGGAAAGTGGCCCGCGCTTAAACGAAAGCGCCTCTCTGAACGACGGGAGCAAAGGGCCGATCCGAAAATGAGGCCCAAGCTGCAGCGGGAGCACCAGGTTGAAACACCTGAAAAAAGGGTATCACAACTGAAACAATAAAACCCAAAGTCTGAAATCCAAGGTGGAGGACATACTCAGGGAGGAGAGGTTACGAATTGCCATACAGTGAAAGTGTGGATAGGGAGGAGGAAATCAGGAAGAAAGAGGGGGGCACACGAAGAAACAGAAGGGAGGAAGTGAGAGAGACAGAGGGGGTGGAATGGTGGAGGGACACGGGGGAGAAAGGGAGACAGATACGAAGTAGGAGGTAGGAGTGGATACCAAATGAGGCGGGCGGAAGTAGGTAGGTGGCGTCTGCAGACTTGATTGGTTCTGAAAAGTTCTGAGGAGTTCTTAGGAATCGGTTTCGCCTCCTCGGCCTACTTGTTTTCGTTCGTCTCGCGCTCGCCATCATCCTCGTCATCCTCTCCATCCTGCCATTCCTCGTGGCTGCGAACACGGGGCAAGTGCCCAACGACCCGGGCGCCTGCTCATCTTCTTCTTCCTCTTCCTCCCTTCTTTTCATCCGCATTCTCCCTCCTCCTCCTGCATCGAACTCTTGGCGGAAGCAGGCGTGAAACGTGAGACATGGCGCGTGCACAGATGGGTCAAACAAGGAATCCGTCAAGACCTCTGAGCGTGTCGGCAAGATCATTCCCCAATCAATGCTTGCACTGACGGGGCCCTAGCGGATATATTGAAAGATTTGACGAACATTTCCCGCCGATTTCGGCAGCCGGCAGGGCTCCGGGTTCCCAAGTTCCTAATTTATTGGTTCCGGGCCGACTTGGGTGGGTTCCCGACTCCCGGGTTCCAGGGTTCCCAGTCGATCTCCTTACCAATATCCTTATCGATCCCACGTTTCACTATCAATATCATGATCGATCTCACTATTCATCTCACTCAATCGATCTCAACATCGATCTCATTAATCTATCCACTGATTGGGTTTTTTTTTCTCTGGTGTAAACACGTTACACACTCGGTTCACCTCTGGGGAGGGGTTGACCTCTCCCCCTACCCCACGCCAGAAGGCTTCCCCGATCTTGGTGCCAAGCACGATTGCCCGCAACGACCTTCTGACGATATGCTAAACTTCTGGGGGAAACGCTCAGCACATCTGGTGTGTACCATGGCCTGGCCTGGCACATGGGAGCGGTGCGCATTCCTATCTGGCAGAGAGGCTGCAAATGAACAAGCAATTGGAAGAGCGGGCCCCATAGGCCGCCAAATATCTTCCCATCGGCCCTCGCGAACAGCTCGAAACGCCATCCTGCAGCACGCGTCATTCATCGCTTCATGACGCAATATAACACACAAGCACAAACAATGACAGATGGCGAAAGATACCATGGCGATTGCGTCATGTGTGGGGGATGACATGCAAACGCGCTAGGCAGAATATCGTAACCTAACATACGACGTGAATGCCAAAAAGCAACCGTCAAGGAGGTGGTGAGTTCTTGCACACCTCTCCATCGCGCGCCCATGTCACTACAACTCTTGGGCCAGACCCTTCACCTTTGGGCCGAAAAGACAATAATGCAAGGGTACCATTACAAGAACAACTGACAAGTCATCATTACATCGCACGTTGGTAGTACTGCTGCATGGTGGAAGCCTCACCTGCGCATCTGTAGGACGAATATGCGTCTAGAATTTCAAGGTCCTTGAAAACCCGACCACAACGACAGAGGTGAACTGTCCCGAAGATGTGAGCCACACAGACAAACCAGTAGGCTGCGCACTCCCTTGCGTGCTCAATCGCCCGCTGTTACCGCTCCTCCCACTCCTGCTACTCCGTCCCCAGAGTCCTTCACCCATCTCCGCCTCCCCTGTCTCTCTTTCTTGTCATCGTCGTCTTGGCAATGCCCCTCTTCGTTTTGACTCCTCCTCCTCCTCATCATCAACCACATCGTCGTCAATGACATCCTATAGGAATCCTCTACAACTAAAGACCTACCGCACACCCCTCGCTTACACCTCTGCTCGCAGCCAAACGCGGCGACACTTCCCTGTTCAACCATAGTGCCGTTGTGTTGCAAACAACGTTTGCCGCTCTGCAAGGGAAAAGTGCGATGTTGCCACCGCGATGCGTAAAGACCTGGGGTAAATCGACGACGCGCCCAATCCATTCGGGTACTTACGCACGCAAGCCGTCGCGCGGGAATCGCAGAAACACTGCACATTTGAGAAACAAACGGACGGAGAAAACGAGATCACGCCGTTTGATTCGTTTCAGCGCGCACACTGATTCGCCAAAGAACCGCGGGCTCGGCCGTGCTAGCAGCCATAAGCACGTGCGCGTTGAATATCGGGTTTGCGTCGCATTCGATTTCGTAAGCGCAAAATCGAACATTGTGTCAGTACCCACGCCAGTTAAAGTGAAGTCCCGAACGCGGACAGCGAAGGTATCGTCGAATTCGTCCTTCTGTTATCTACTATTATACATGTTGTATGTGGGGTGCTGGGGGCATCGACCTTCTCTGTCGGTCACGCGCGTCGCACGTCGCGTTCGCTTCGAAATTGCCCGCAGGACGCCAACTGGTCAGAGGTCTTGCGCTCTACCACGTGCTGAGGTTTGCCGTCAATGGTTATAATGTACCGGGGGGGGGGAAATACACGTCGTTGCGTGACCTATTCAGCAAAAGTGCAAAACAGATCGCCACCATAAAAGAAGACCCCCCCACACACAAACAATGCTAACCAACGTTGGCCCCAATCAATAGGTTGTTGCTGTTTACGCGGTGCGATCTATGTGGTGTAACTCACTTTGACCGTCTTGAAGCTGTCCTCTCCGCTGCTCGTGCAAACATCCCACCCTCCCACCCGCAACTTGGTCGCAGGACCTCTTAAGACAAGACCGTGACGGTAGGTACCACATGGCACTTGGCCGCGACACCGACGCCGACGCCGACAGCAACAACGACGACGACGGTGCCGCCGACGACGATGACGACGACGCCGACGACGAAGTTAACGACGACGACGACAACGACGTCGCCAACGGAGACGACGACGAGAGAGGAGGGAGGACGACGACGGCAACAACGACGACAACGACGAAGGAGGAGGGATGACGGCGACGACGCGAACGACGAAGGAGGAAGGACGGCGACGCCGGCGACGACAACGACGAGGGAATGCGGTGCGATGTGGCGACCACCGTTGCGGACAGCGTCCGGGCCTAGGGCAGACCAGGTGGGTGAGGCCATGGCCTCTCGGATCTGACGTGTCTGTATTCACGCAGTGCGAAACATTTGAAAAGGTTAGGAGGTGAGGGGGAGGAGGAAAAACAAATTCTTGGTGTCGGTGTCGGCGCGGGTTGGGCGAGATTACGACATTGGTCTGAGTCCCGGGTGCTGGTCGACGTGAGGTCAGTGAATTGGTGCTCGAGCGCTGTCCATGCTTCGGTGTCTTGGGTTGTTTGCGTCCATGTGATGTCGTTCGGTTGTTCTTTCGAATGGGCTTGCGTGGGCGGACGGTGGAGGTCTGGTCTGCGTTGACGTAAGTAAGTTGAGATTTCGTCGTTCCAGCGCTTGTTTTGGCCACCGTGCTGCCTGTGTCCCTGCTGGCGCGGGCTGAGGACTGGGTGCCAGCGCAGCACTCGCCATGTCCACCTCGTCCAGTCGTGGTTTGCGACTCGTGAAGCCATGCGCCAGACTTTCCGTTTGTGCAGCGTCTCCCAATTGTCGATGTGGTGGAACTTCATGGGGTGCTCTGCGCGTCGTGTCGCTCGCTGGATGTAGTCGACCCATGGTTCCATGTCGTCTGCGGTGGTGCCGTCTTCGCCGTCTTCGCTGTGCTTGTCAGGCGTGTCAGGTGCATCACGCTGTGATGGATTGCTGTCTGCGTCGTCACTAATGCTGTTGGTGCGGTCTTCGTGGTCTTGTGCTTCGTTGTTCGCGCCGTCGAGATTCGGCCCCTGGCCGCTGTGAGGGCCGGCTTCTTCTGTTGTGCGTCTCCGTGGCGTTCCGATGATCATGCGAAGCATGCGTCGTTGTGTGCGTCGTAGATGCTGCCGTAGAGGCTCCATGAGGGTGCACGTCTCTGCCCCGTATAACACTATTGGTGCTACAGTGCTGTTGAAAAGTCGGAGTCGGTGGGCCAGTGGGTAGTGTTAGCTAGTCAGCTCCTGCTTGCGAGACGTGAATGATGCCCATGCAGCTCGCGTGCGGTGGTGGATTTCCGTTGCCATTGGTTCGTGGAAGCTGATCAATTGGCCGAGGTATTTGATACTGCCCTGGTGTGGCACGATTTCTATATCCATGTCTTGGAAACGTGCTGTGCGTGAGCTCGCCCTTCCGGTCCTTCTCGCCTGGTTGCTCAGCATGTTGGTTTTGCTTGGGTGCAGTTCGAGCCCGTGCACCCTCGTCGCGCGCACCATGTCGTCAAGCATCGCTGTCAGGCGCGGGAGTTGGCTGGTCAGGAGCACGTCGTCGGCGAAGCGTAGGTTGGTCAGCGTGGTGGTGCTCGCGAATCCCAATTCAACTCCCTTCCTTTCTTGCTGCCATTCGGAAACCAGCGGTCCCAGGATGTATTGTTGAAGACGTTGAAGAGTAGGGCGCTGAGTGGGTCTCCCTGCTTCGTGCCCCGCAGGAGGCTAAAGGGTCTGCTGCTGACGTCTGTCCTCACCGCGGCTGTCTGCCCCTCATAGAGCTGTTGGAGAAGTGCGACGCATCCAGGTTGGACCCCTTGTGCCTTCAGTGCTGCCCATGTGCTCCTGTGCTCAACTGAATCGAAAGCTTTTTTGAAGTCAAGTGCTGCGACCCAGAGGTTTTCGCCCCATTCGTTTGCGCGCTCGCGCAATACATGGAAGGTGAAGAGGTGGTCAGTGGTCGAGTGGCCCGGTCTGAAGCCCGCCTGGTCGGTAGTCTGGTGTGAGTCAAGCGTCGGTTGTAGCCTGTTGTACAGTAGTCGGCTGAAGAGCTTGCACAACAATGGTATCGTGCAAATGGGGCGGTAATTTTGTGGAAGCGCGAGATCTCCACTTTTTGATATGGCTGTGATGACTGTGCTCTTCCAGCAGGCCGGCGGCGGGGCTTGGCGCTGCAGGATCGTGTTGTAGAGGTGGAGAAGTGCACCTCTGAATTTCTCTGTGCCTTCTTTGTGCATCTCTGCGCGGAAGCCTTTCGTGTCTGGGGCTTTGCCAAGCCGGAGACCTTTGATCGCCTTGTTTAGTTCTTTCGGTGTGAAGGGTGGAAGTCGGTGAGTCTGTTGGTCGCTGGTCGGTCGTAAATTGGCCAGACTGTCGGCCGGCGGGCGGGGGTCGGTCTGTTGCTCTGCTGGTCGGTCGGTCGGTCTGGCGTGCGGTTTGCTGCTTTGCCGGTCTGCCGGTCGGTCTGCTGGTCGGTCGGCGGGGTCGTCGCTTGGTCGTTGTGGGAGTCGGTGGGTCTGCTGGTCGGTCGGTGGTAGTCGGTCAGCTGGTCTGTTAGTCGGCGGTCGGTGATCGGTCTGCTGATAAGACGAAACCGGGATCGGGGCAAAGTTTGACCGGGATAAAAATCATGCTCGGTTTTTCAAATCACCGGGGGCGCCGCCGAACGGGCCTGCCACGCCTTGGGCACCATCGGCTCCGCGAGGGAAGGAATGCGCCCCGGCGCGGATGAGGCCACGGCGCGTATTTGGCCACGCGCGCGCCCGAGGGAATTCAGCGCCAAGCGCCTTTCACTCCAGAATACCCGACGTCAGCAAAGCAAACTTGAGGCCCCAAGGGGGCCCCAAAGAGGCGGACCGCCAAAACAATCACGCAACCAACGCAACGAAAAACACGTGTAAATGTCACAAAGCGCAGTACTCAGTGACCTCTTCGGCGACGCAACACCGCGAGAATGCCCAAGAAGGCATTGGAAAAAGAGCCCGCGCGCGGCCTGGCGACTTCCCCGCGCCGCCCCAAGGTTCCCGAAGCGCGCCGAAATAACCGTAGAGAAAACTGTTTGAAAGTTTTTGGAAGGCCCCCGCGCCATGCAATATCCGCCACCGAATAATATCGCGGACACCTAGCGCGCACGCGCGGGCGTCCACCATGGATGCCCAACTCCGGCTTCGGAGACAATCGCGCGCAACCGCCGGGGGGCTTCGGCAACCTCGCGATTGGCCCAGGGGCCCGCGGGCCCCAGGGAATCGAGGATCGAGTTCGCGACTCCGGAAGCATCGGGCGCAGCGCAAGCCAGTCGCTCGTCTCTGGCTGACAGTGGGGCGCCTGGAGATCCGGTAAAACCTGAGGAACCGCTTTTCAGAGATTCACAGAACCAGAAAACGGGGCGCGCCAAA